GGGGACGTCTATCGCGGACCTCACGGCGTCGTCGACGGCGTTACCCAAATTTGGGCGACCAAACGCCTGTTACCAAATTTCGGGTGATGAATTTTTCGTCACTCAAAATTGAGCAACGAAGTTGCATCACCCATGTAAAGGGTGATGGTGGTGACCCATTCATTCTCAGTGAAGCTCTTATCGACACTTTTGTTTGGAGTATTCTCTACAAAAAGAGACCTCTCCGACCTGCAGAACGGAGGAAATGTAGACAAGATCAAAAGACGACTTTTCATTCGAATAGTTTCAGTAGGCCTATGTTTTCGGCAAACTTTGAATATTGTAAAATTCTTTTCAAAACTTTCGTTTTGAGCCGTTGTCCGACCTGGAACTGATGATATAGTGCTAATGGATCGAAAAACGGCAAAACAATTTCAACAAATCAAAAATTCAACTTCCTAATTGAATTTAGTCGAAAAAAAAAACATGCTGTAACGTTTTTGTTGTCTTTTTATCTTTGAAGGCACATATCTTTCTTTTCCCCACCGTAAACAGGTCGGCCCGGAGAGGTCTCATTTTGTACAGAATACTCTAAACTGTGCCGAAAAGAGTTGGGCCGCCCAAATCCATATTTGAAGGAAATTAACTCGAACTAGTCCGAAAAAAAGGCCGTGTTTTGTAACTTTGGTAAGGTTTAAGCTGCCCCCTTTACCTCACATTTCGTGAAACTTCATTTTTTATCGTTACATCTGAGAAAAAGTAGTTTAAGCACAGAAAATTCTTTTTTTTTTTGCATTTTCGGACCTCTATTATACTGTGCTGAGCGAGGGTGGGTTAATATGCAATATGTACCATTGTAATGTGTGATCTCTCTCTTTATGCCCTTAAAATACATATTTATATAATGTATACCAAAATAAGGGGCACATCCAAACCACCTCTCAGCAGAACGCTGCTTTGGCATGAAAACATGGGGAAGACCGGCCGGGGAGGGGGGGGGGGCGCTTGTGGGTAGGGGCCGTCCGATGAATTTCCCGCTCGGGCCGTTTGGGTCCCAGTCCGCCCCTGAGCGTGACCCTAACCTACGCAAGTCTGCGATCCACGTGCGTACAGAATCGCCCCCTTGGTTTCGATTGCGGAACCGCTCAATTGCCACGACTTGAGTTTCCACTGGGGCCAAATGGGAATCGAGTTTAGTCACGAGGTCTGAATAAGTCGAATCCTGCACTTTGGCTGGAAACACCAACGCCAGCAAAAGCTGGATTCCCTCCGGCCCGAGCCGCGGCAATAACAAAGCCTTTTTATCATCGTCATGGGCGATGCCAGCGGCGTCGAGCGTGAACTCGAAACTCCATTTGAAGACCTCCCACTCAACGGTTCCATTTAAATCGAACTTATCGTGTTTAAAAGCCCGAAGAACCTCGGGGGCTGCCCTTTCGATTACCATGTCAGGGAATAACAAACGCAAATGGTCGGTGTCCCACACCGACCAATTCATTCAAGCGGGAACACACACTTGAAAATCCGTACCTTGTTGAGGTTAAATCAAGCTGGTTCGTAGCTGAAGTCGGTGCGCCGTTGACGTCTTGCCGTGAATTCACCTCGTCGCCAAATGCTGTAGTCGCTACGTGAGTTGGAGAGTAGGGCCAAAGAACAAGTCAACACGAAGGAGTCTGGTTTGGAACTGGCGAGATTCTGTCTAGAGTGGGCCAGCGAGGAGGGGGGGGAGGTGCCATATCGACAGAAGAGAATCGATGTATCGAAGTAGATGTGAGGATACAGCAATTGCATATAATCTGAAATGTTGAACATTATTTTATTATTAAAATTTAGTAACAAAAATAAAGAGTGCAGTGTGGGCGCCCCCCACCCCCGCCGCCGTTGATTGTCGCGCCGCACACTAGTAACCAGACTACTGGCTGGACTCTCTGTGAACGAGCTGACTCTCTTGCCCTGCTGAAATACAAGTGTCACAAACCCACATACGAGCTTCACCACACAGGTACTCAATGAGATCCAAGTTACAATTGAATACTGATCCACAAATAATATGGGGTCGTCCACATATTACGTAATCACCTTGGGGGGAGGGGGAGGTAGAGCTGAGGCTTACGCTTGATTACAGAGGGGAGAGGGGGGTGACCAGACCATCTTGATTACGTAATCAAATTTTTTGGTCACTCAATGCAATGTTGTTGATCTAAACATCTACGAAATACTGCATGCAGTATCGCGCAGTAGATACACCGATACCGAACTCACTTTCACATCCTCGAAAAGACACATTGATGATTTCGAGCATTTATCATTTCACTAAGAAGCTCCTTTGTCAAGGCGAAATGGATTTAGGAGGTTTATAAAATGAATGAAAATCTGTACATTAATGAGAACAACCGTCAATGCCGTAAAAGAGGATTAAATGGAAAACTCCTGAAATTCTTCTCAGTGATCGTTTCGAGACAAGGTACACACAAGTTCGGGTGCTGGCAGAGACGCTTTAACTAGGTCACCGCTCGGTAGTATCATTGATCATAGGAAATTATTTCAGCGGGATAGTCACCCCCTCTACTGCATGGTTAAAACGGTTCCTGGCTGTTCCAGGATCTCCCCGGAAAACGACTAAGTCTCACCCATAGGTTGAAATAATTTTTTTATCACTCATACCGTGTTTGGAAACATATAACTGCTGGATCTGGATTCCTCTCATTTTTTTGAATATTTTGCAGATTACGTAATCATACGCGAGGGGGGAGGGGGCCTAACCGTTGATTACGTTTGATTACAAGGGGGAGGGGGAGGTGAAAAATCCAAAACTCGTGATTACGTAATATGTGGACGACCCCTATACATACATTCGTCCAGCAAGTTGAGAGTGAAAACCAAAAATACAGAATCTTAAAAAGATCAAGGTTTCAAATGACTACTGACCACATGAGTTCTTCCATTAAGTTACGGGTTCAAACAAGACTAGGAAACTAACATGAAACAGACAAATCAACAGCTTGATACTTAAAAATTGTCAATGAGACAAGATGAAACAATTACAAATGAAGAAAACACTTACTCATTTCTCTTATCAGATAATATCAATGGCACAAGACAAAACAATACAAAACAATCACAACTTTAAAAACACTTACACATTTCCCTTTCACAAAATGTCGCCATAAAAAAAATAAAAAACAAACTAATTAAGATTCATTAATACACGACTAAGTGTTCACCACAGTTGGTCTAGTTTTGCATCAGAATGAAAGCATGCCATCAATTGTCATCACCTTCATTATTACCATTGCCAATATCTTCGCCCTGTCCCAGGTTACCAGTACCATTGTTTCCTCCATTACGTTCTTTGTCACCACCATTGGCATCAACTTTCTCATTGTTACTATCATTTACAGATTCTTCTAAAGACACTTCCAGCTTCAAGCTGCTTCTTCCAACTATGAACCCAGAGATCATCTGAAAATATGACACCACAGTAAGTTAAACACAACAAGCAACACTACTTCGGAAGAAAATGAAAATAGCTTTGAACTCACTTACAGATATATCAATGCGATAAAAGTTGTCTAACATCTTTTCCCTATACACTAGGAACACGTTCTTGCCATCCAGGACATCCTTCTTCATAACTGCGATATCCTCATCGCTCAATTGAACACGATACTTTCCAGGTAATTGTAACCTCCACTTCTTGCTGTCCTGGCCCATACTGGGCGTGCTCTGTCTCATTGATGTTAAGTATCTTGTAAGGAATGTTAGGGGTCAGTTTCGAGATATTGGTAAATCCGATCCAGGACTTGATGACTTAGGGTTCTTCACTATGGGAGCCATCAGAGAAGCCTCAAAGTCTGGAAAAATACCAGATGCAGATGTGCTCAAATTCAGAAAGGAAGCTCGCACGTTCCCTGTTCGTATGATTGAAAAGATTCAAGAAAGGTCTCCACTAACCTACAAGTTGACAAGAGTAATATCTTGTTTAGATCCTATCGTGGGTTTGGAGACCCCAGTCTTGGCCAAGGACAGGGTCCACCAGACTCTGGAAATATTGACCAGCAAGGGCAGGATTTCTGGAGCTAAGGCCGATCGCATGAAGAGTGGCTTCAATTCTCTAATTAGCCTTCCTTCAACTAAAGTCCGCCTAGAGCAGTTCAAGGCCAAAAAGCCACCAAGACTTGATAACCTGTGGACAGAAATCATAGACGCTGCACCGTCCTCTGTGCCCAATAAGGAGGACTTGTTGGATTTTGTCAGAATGATACTTATTTTGTTCCACGGCAACGCTGCCCTTGTAACGAGCTTCTCCTTAAACAGGGACTGTTTGGTGGTAAATCAGAAGGAAAATAGCTTGATTGCACATCGCGTCGTGCAGGATGCTGTGGTTGCAGCAGGCGGCGTCCTTGAAGTTGAAGCCACCAAACCAATGATTCATGCTGCAAGAAACGCTCACGCGCGCTTCAAGGAAGCTAAAGAAGCTGAAAAAGTCGCTGCAAAGAGAAAAGCTGCTGCTGAGTTAAAGGAATTGGTTCAAAGAAGAGAAAAGATAATGAAAAATGCTCAAGATGAAGCATCTGTAATAGATCTTAAAATACTGTACAAAGTATTAACAAAAGTTAGTTGACTTTGGTTAATACTTTGTATTTTAAGATCTGGTATTTCTTAAAATTGTTGCTAGCAGTTTAATTTTTATGTTTCCTAAGCGCTAGTCCATTTATACGATTATTATGTGCCATATTTTTATTGTTTTATTTTCTTGTCAGTTATGTTTAACTGTGTTTTTTGTTCCTAGAGTTTTTATTTTGTGACCGCCGCTGTTGCTACTGTGTTAACCAGTAAATTTGATTTGCAATAAAAGCGAGTTAATCAGGTTTTTTAGTTAATTTTCCTTATGTTATACCCCAAAGTCTTTATTTGGTTGAAAATATCCGGGAATTTGGACGAAAATAGGCCGGGAAATCCGGGTAAACTCCGGGAATTCGAAAATCCGGTAGCGCTCGACACCATGTACTTTGATGAGGGCAGTGAGAGGCAGGTTACCGACTATCAAAAATTATACACCCGAGGTATCCACATTTGAGATACTCGCAGGATTCAGCCCAACCGAAGTGCAATGGGAGGGCCTCGGCCTGGAGGAACCGCCTTGGTGATCACGGTTAACCTCTGTGCCAGGTAACGCCGGACGCACTTTAAAACTCAACCCTCAATAAACCTCTTGCGCCGCTCGGGTCCAAGGCCACCACCACCAAGAAGGGCCCTGAGAAGCAGAAGTCCAGCCGTGGCGGCCGCTTCAAACTGTCGTCTGTGATCAACGCATCGTCCAATGTAAATAGCGCTTTTCTTCATTTTGTCATTGATTTATTTAAATGCCCTTTTTGAAAATTCGGCGTGAATGCTGAAAAGATTTCACAATTTATTATTTCTGTCTGCATATTGTGTTTCAGTTTCGAGCCCCTCAGACGTATAGATGTCCTTATTGCCTCTTTCTCGAGACCCAGAGAAGCAAGGCAGTTAAGCATATCCAGGATGAACACGGAGATGCAATTAATCGGGAGCGCTTCGGCATGGATGGGGTCCAGGTCCGCCTCGAGAACAATTCGTGCCGAGGCGTACGCGTGCTTTGCAAAGGTGTCTTCAAGGCGCACACACGTCGCCTCAAGCCCAAGATGTCGAAGGACGTCTTCAAGTTCACGCTGGACGTCATAAGGTGCCTGCTGCTGGAAGCGCTAGTCATCATAGGCGAGGCAGACGTCTACGAAGAGCAGAAGGTGGACGTGCTGCGGGCGGCGTACAACAAGCTGCTAGAGTAAGCAAAGAGCATCTCTTGTTTCAATTACATACATTAGTTGTCATGGTTGTGTTGGAAATGTTACTTTTTCTTCAAATAGTAGACAACTGTAAATATCAAGAATGAAAGATTTGATGCAATGTGGAGAAAAAGTAAGTTTTTCGACCATCTGAAAGATGCTTCTCTTGAACTTACCCGTTTTCTCCTTCATCTTGTCAGGACGTGCGGGACCTACGAGGAGGAGGAGAGCTCGGACGACGAGGAGGACGTTCAGCATGTCGGAGACGACGGAGATGCCGCGGAAGTCCAAGGCTCCGGTGAAGATCAGCAGGCCAGTGACGAAGAAAACTCCGAAGATGAGCAGGAAACCGAAGAGAGCGATGAAGAATCTGAAACCGAAGACTGATATTGATCTACAGTACTTAGGTCTATACCAAATTGATATTCTATTTGATATCTTGTTGTTCCTTCGTTTTTTGATCTTTGACTAATGGAAATGTCAACGCATCAGATAAATACTTTTCTCTATTCTTTATTCTGTATTGAAATTCTATTTGTACTTTGATGTGACTTCGTATTTTGATCTTTGACTAATGGAAATGTCAACGCATCAGATATACTTTGCTCTATTGTATATTGAAATACTAATTGTTCTAAGATTTGTTATTTTCATCTATGACTGATCAACTCCTATTCGTTCTGAAGTTACAAATGTTAACGCTAAAATTATAGAATCTCCGTTAACATTTTATACTTAGAAATGAAATGGAGGTCTTCATTTTGTATCAAGGTTACTTTTTGTATTTAGTTCTAAGTCGCAATAAAATTCTTTTTTATTACATAAACTCTAACACTGAGACTCGTGCCCCAACTCCCTGAGTTTCTGAGTTATGGAGGTTTGCGTATTATCTGAGCTGTTTCTCCCAAATTGTGTTCACGACAAACGATAAGATACCCAGTCTTCATGTTCTGGCAATCTGATTTCTTTTCGAATGGGAAAAAAGGTAGCGTTGGCTGTTTTTTCATATCTGCCATAGTTTCCCTGAAAACCCAAAATGGGAGAAACGACTAAAAGTTAACGTAAACCTGTATAACTCAGAAACTAGTAGGAGTAAGGGCCCCCAACTTTGGGAATGAATTCATCTAATACTGGTTGAATTTTGACCACAAATTAATCTGTCTGTGTCAATGATTCCTGGTTGCACCAAGTTGCACTTTGCAGTACTTTTAAATGAAGATTCATTTTGCATTTGTCTTATTTGCAACATAGGACACGTAGACGTTTACGATTTGCAGTGTACTTGAGTTGTGGGAAAATAGTTAAAATAAATCCCGTTAGCACCTTTCGTATTTGCAAGATAAAGTCAAGGAATTCGGACACGCATACATGCTCTCACAAACGGAGAGCCGTTTCTCGGGCAAACGACAAAAGGTGTCTAGTGATTGCGGATATATTGAAGTTTGCTAATTTATCGGTTTTGCAGTGTAAAGACTGTCGTTTGGAGAAGGGTAATAAGAAAAATCCTGTGAGTAGCTAGCTTTTTCTTTATTAAACATCTTCCACCAGTTACTTTTTTTTTACAATTTGCAAATCAATTGTTCAAAAAGAAAAATAATATGGAACAAATTTTGCAAAACAAAGTTAGAGAAAATAACAGGAAAAGTAGCGATACACATCGGCAACTTTGGCCCGTCCCGTAGATTTAGAAATCTGCGAATTTAGCCTATGCACCTCACTGGGATTTGAACCCGGGTCCAAACTTCTCCGATTCGCTTGAAACTGGCACCATTGGTTTTTTCTCGTCGCCCCGATTCCAAAAATACCGAGGGGGGAATAACTACCCGTACAGAAAAATTCAGTACGCTTTTGGGTCGTTTTCGGGACGCTTTTAGGTCGCTCCCCTGTCGACTAGGTCGCTTTTGGTGCGCGCGCAGTGAGACTAGTACGCTTTTTGGGCATCGAAACAAAGAGGACTGGTTCGCGAAGGGGGCGCTTTGCCGGGGCTGGGGCGTGAAAGGACGCGTCGTTGGCCCGTCGGAGGCGTACTAGTTTGCTAAAGGTTCGCGTGCGAAGGGACTAGGTCGCTTTTGGTCACCCGGGAGAGCGGACTAGTTCGCTCGGAGTACGCGAAACGCGGCCCCATCACGCCCCAGTCCGCCCTGGACGGGTACTATTGCGTATGGTGCGCTCTGCCCGGGGACCAAAAAACGACCCCCCACGAACGCGAACCTTTAGCGACCCAGTGCGCCTCCGAGGGCCACACGCACTGCCCTCGTCTTAGAGGCCGCACATTCTCTTGCCCTAGGTACCCTGTGCGAAGAGGGTTGCCAAGGGGGATATTGGGGCCCCCTTTTAACTACGTAGCCTATGTCTCTACCGTAGTTTAAAATCATGGTAAAAGTAATCCGACAGTTTTAAATGCTGCTGATAAAATCTGCCAGTAAAATACTAATGCCACGTCGCCAATCTAGTCACTAAATAGATTCAGCTTTGGTAAAAAAACAAGACACAGTGCCGATATGCAATTTTCAGCTCGTGTAGTTTTCTTCGGGTCAAACCTTTAACTCGGGGTCAAATTAAAACAATTTCCCGTAGCACTCTTGTGCCTTGTGACGAAGTATCTAATCATGATATCCGCGTCGAAAACCGCATCTCTCTTCTTATTCTGGCCCCTCCAGAGAGCGAAGACTGAGAGCGAGGGGGGCGCGGGCGCCGAGCCGCGCTGAGCCAGTGAAGGGCTCGCCTGCGGGCCCAGTCCTGTGTTTCAGGTTAGCGCAGTGGGCAGCGACGTCGACACCGAGGATCCAAAGGGGTCCCCATCACCGAAGGCCAGGGGTCGACTTCCACAGACCGACGCCCCCAAAAAAAAATGCCCCCCCTCCCCCCGTGTCGGCCCCTCTTTTGACTCTCGGAATCGGACGGGGGACTAAAAGGTACTAGTCCCCCCCTCACCGAAAGCGAACTAAAAGCGTACCGGTCCGGCGCGGACTAGGACGCTTTGAGGGCGGTTTTTTGGGACATTTTTGGGCCGGAAGCGGACTAGTCCCTCGTCGGAGGGGACTAAAAGCGACCTAGTCCAAAGCGTACCAAAAGCGTACTGTTTGGGGACTAAAAGCGTACTGTATTTTTCTGTAAGGGTACCCATTTTGGTGAACACATGTTTTCAGGAGGGGGGGATTCGCGGGATTTCGGGGGATTTCATGGATTTCGCAGGATTGCGTGGATTTCAAGG